CAATGCGAAACATACAATAAACCTGAAAAAATAGTGGAAATCGAGGACAGGGAAAAGAACGAGTTGAAAAGGGTGAACCAATCAAGTATTCAAAAAGGATGCCAAAGCAGAAGACAAGATGTGGATAAAAACGTGAGAATAATTTACAAGTGGAAAAAAGATAAAGGACACGATTATGTACGTATATGCGCTCATGATTTTGAAAAGGGCATACCTGAAACATCATAAACGTTGAATGAAAATTAGACTGTAAAGTGATAGTATACAATGAAAATAAGAACAAAAATAGCTGATATGATTAAAAAGTATAATAAAAGTGCGTAAGCGAAGTAACCGGGACTCTAGAAGTCTATACCGGGAATCAACTGCCTCGGAAGGTCATCGAGGATTTCAACAGCTGTTGAAGGCTGATTGAATTCAGCCGAAACAAGAACACAATCTTCTGGGGGCTGAAAAGCCTCTGACTCTTTGTTTTCATGTTTAACAGCAACTCGTCCGCCAGATCTGCGGAATCGACGGGCCAATCGAGTCACTGAGTCATCAGGTGGCGAGTGTAAACTTTGCCCCTCGGACGCATGGGAGATGGAGTTAAAAGAGGAGCAATGCCGATCGATACTGGCTTCAGCACCACAGTCAAGAGTTTCAGTTAATATATCCTCTCTCGAGGTTGAACTGAAAACAGATTGATCTTCTGCTCGGTCAATATCGTTACCATCATCCTCATCAAGGAGGTCTGCATTGGTGAGTCGGTTCAAAGAGGCAGTGGAAAGGACGCCTCGAGAGAGTAGAGAGAGGGCACCGACTCGCCCACGCTCGAGTAGCGTACGCTTGACACGAGGTAAAGGGGCTCGCTTGCAAACCAATAAGTAGGTCATAGGTGTAGACATAATTCTAGAAATGCCTGCATTTGGAGAGTCATGTGAAACAAGTAATGAAGTTGAGAGATCGGTATCGGACTCAAAGGAAGAGCCTGCATGACAGACTTCTGTCTCCTCTTTGGTTAGCAAGCCCCATTGTTGAGCTATGCGGCGTGCGGCAGGCCAGGCAGCTCGAAGGATGGTAGGGTGACGGAGGCAGAGGGGCGTAACAAGTGCGGAAGCGGCGTAGGCAGGTAAGAAGTGCTCGAGTTGTCGGATTACTTGTTGAAGTTCCTCGTCTGTACTTAAAGCCTCAGCTTCATGAAAATCGATTGCATTACCAGATGCCCGTCTGGAGTCTCGAGACGGACTAGCTCCTGGAGCTGATTGAGAGAAATTGCATAGAGCTAATAGAGTCGAAAATGAGTTTGACAATGTAGTTAATTATCAGATGGTAATACAGAGGATGAAAATTTCTGAAATAAAAAATAGCAAGGTATTTGACTATCTCAAGTATATTGTTAAGCTTACTTCCTTTTCGAGTGAGCGTTGGGCA